GTATGGGGCGGAGACGTGGAGAACTACGAAAGCCATTATCCAGAAGATACAAGTGTTCATCAACAGCTGTCTACATCATCTACAAGATAAATTGTACCAACTGCAACAAACACTATATTGGACAAAGCGGACGCCCCCTGCATCGTCGCCTACATGAACACCAATTAGCAGTCAAACGCCACGACATTTCTTCACTCATATCAATACACGTGGACAACTACGGACATACATTCGACTGGGAAAATGTGCAGATTTTGGACAGAGGCAATTCCAAAAATACCAGAGAATTTTTAGAAGCTTGGCACTCAGGTCAATCAGCAATAAACAAACATATTGAAATCAATCCAATCTATCAACCAATCAAGAAAATTATGCAGGAACATAGGAACAAAAATCAAAGCAGTAGGAGAGACAATCAAAACAAAGAAATAAACAATGACAGATTTAATGTCGATAAGAATCAATCAACATCGAGGTGCAGAGGACAAGCTGTGAATCACATGTGGAGAAATTCAAACACTTCACTTCTACCCGAAGTTTGTGCTGATGATGTCGTTCAGAAGGACGATGAGAGCTCCACGACCAAACCATCCAGCTCAGAGAACAAACCAACATAAAAAGCTGTCTACGCTAAATACTTCGGATCTGATGGCCAGACACTATTAGTAATAAGTTACTGTGGGAGAGAACAAACCAGATTCCAGCAGAGGAAGAAATCAGGAGGAAGCGCTGGAAGTGGATTGGGCACACTTTGAGGAAATCACCCAATTGTTTCACAAGACAAGCCCTCACATGGAATCCTGAAGGTCAAAGGAGAAGAGGAAGACCAAAGAACACATTACGCCGAGAAATAGATACAGACATGAGAGGAATGAACAAGAACTGGATAGAACTAGAAAAGGAAGGCTGAGGACAGAGTGGGTTGGAAAAAGCTGGTCGGCGGCCTATGCTCCATTGGGAGTAACAGGTGTAATTCCATTCACAGGGAGAAAGACAGATATGAAGCAATTTTGATCTCACGGTTTAAGGGAAGATAAAGAGTGTATACACCTACACCATTGTGATCGATTCTGAGCCATGTCACACAGAGTCTCCAACCATTGGCTACGATAGTCACGTGGACCCCAACCAAGTAGTCTGCATCTACCAACATGGTTCAGACTAGAAGTTAGTGACTTCATGCTCTGATGCCACGTTTCGGTTTGGCCGCCCCTAACACTCTTCCAACCTTCCCCAATACTAGTCAGCATAGCGCGTCGTGGTAATCGGTGATCAGGCATACGTAACACGTGACCCAACGATCTCAGTCGATGAAGATTCACAACTTCATCAACTGATTTACCATCATTCCCTAATACCCTTCATCTAAACTCACTATTACTTACCCTGTGATCCCAGCAGATGTGAGCAATATTTCTAAGACATCTGTGGTCAAATACTAGTAACCTACGAGTATCTTCTACTCTTAATGGCCATGTTTCACAGTCGTAAAATAGAACAGAGCGAACTGATGCGCAGTATACTGGTTCCTTAATTGATAGACAGATATCTCGTCTTCGCCATGGGTGACGTAAGTTGGCAAAGCCCAACATTAAATTATTGATAATAGTTCTCTATCTTTTAAAAAAATTACAGGTCAGGTCAGGTCAGCTACAACGTAGGACCAGGCACATATATGCATCGGTCCAAGTTGCCATACCTCGTTAGCACAACTAGATCAACACCGGATTCATAGTAGTTAATCTAGTGTTGGTAGTAGTATATAAATTATAGGTTGTATATAAGGATATAGTACAGGAAGGAAGAGAGATATGAAGCAATTTTGATCTCACGGTTTAAGGGAAGATAAAGAGTGTATACACCTACACCATTGTGATCGATTCTGAGCCATGTCACCTAGAGTCTCCAACCGTAAGATATGATAGTCATGCGGACCCCAAACAGGTAGTCTGCATCCACCAACATGGCTCAGACTAGAAGTTAGTGACTTCATGCTCTGAAGCCACGTTTCGGTTTGGCCGCCCCTAACTCTCTTTCAACCATCCCCTATACTACTCAGCATTGCGCGTCGTGGTAATCGGTGTTCAGGCATACGTAACACGTGACCCAACAATCTCAGTCGATGAAGATTCACAACTTCATCAACTGATTTACCATCATTTCCTAATACCCTTCATCTAACCTCACTATTACTTACCGGTGATCCCAGCAGATGTGAGCAATATTTCTAAGACATCTGTGATCAAATACTAGTAACCTACGAGTATCTTCTACTTTTAATGGCCATGTTTCACAGCCGTAAAGTAGGACAGAGCGAACTGCTGCGCAGTATACTCGTCCCTTAATTGATAGACGGATATCTCGTCTGCGCCATAGGTGACGTAAGTTGGCAAAAGCCAAACGAGCTTTTTGAATCCGTGCTGAGATTTCGTCTGACACCAACCCATTAGGGCTGATCAGACTTCCAAGATAAGTGAAGTTGTCGACGCGTTCGACTACTTCACTTCCTATCCTTAGTTCGAGTGTTGACGCAGGCCAGTCCTGGAGTAACAATTTACATTTGGATGGGGAGAAACGCATCCCAAACATCCTGGCATTATTACTGAGTTCCAACAGAAGACTCTGCTTTTTGCCAGCGTCTTCACCAAACAGGACTATGTCATCTGCGTATTCTAAGTCGCTTAGTGGTCCCCCTGGTAGGAGATCAATTCCTGAAAATTCAGTCGAAGAGAGTGTTATTTTCAGCAACAGGTCTATATTGAAGTTAAACAAAATGGGGATAGTGGACAGCCTTGACGGACACCACTTGAGGTTGTAAAATCATATGACAGTTCGCCATAAGCTCTCACTCGACTGGTATTGTTCGAGTAAAGAGCCTTCAAAAGGTTTATGTACTTCTCAGGTACACCTTTCAATGACAGACACTGCCACAGATCCTCTCGGTCTACAGAGTCAAATGCTGCTTTCAAGTCAAGAAAAACTATCATTGTCGGACGCCGATAAGCGTGTCTGTGCTCTAAAATTTGACGAATGGTGAATATGTGGTCGATACAGCCACGACCAGGTCTGAAGCCAGCCTGATTTTCTCGTGTTTGCAGTTCACGAGTCTTAGTTAGGCGCCCGATAATTATTGAGGCTAGTATTTTAGATGCTATGTTAGTCAGACTAATCCCTCTATGGTTATCGCAGGATGATTTGGACCCCTTTTTATATATTGGGACAATCAGTGATTGTGACCAGTCGGATGGGATTACATCCGTCTCCCAGATTTTAGCCAGAATATTAGTCAACCTAATCGCTAAAATTGGACCACCGTATTTAAAAACCTCTGGAACCAATCCATCAGGACCAGCTGCTCTTCCCCGTTTCAGATTACCTATAACCTTTTGAACTTCAAGTAGGGTCGGGGGGCCTACTTCAATGTTCCATTCAGGTTTTGTGGGAATAGTGGGTAGTTGTGCAGTAGCTGAAGGCCAGCTAAACTGCTCCTTAAAGTGTTCCGCCCATCGTTCTAAACGTTTAGGTTGAGAGCAGATAAGGGTTCCGTCTTTTTCCGAGATTGTCTTACTTACACTTGACTTCTTAATTCCGGTTTCTTTTATTAGTCTGAATAGTTGCCTGGTGTTGCCTACAGCCGCTGCCTTTTCCATCTCTTTTGCTTTCGTTGCCCACCACTGCTCACGATCGTTCCTTAGGCTTTTAGTTAACCTAGATCTAATTTGTTTACGCTCTTCGTCATGTTCAGAGCCTGATGGGATGAGTTTACGCGAATCCATCAGTGAAATAGACTTAGAGGAAATCCACTGGTTTTTTGGAGCCCTATGGTTTAAATGACTAATAGATGTTACTGCCGTTTCCACAGCTGTTCGTGTGTCTTTCCAAGCAGCATCTGGGTCAGTCTCGTTTACAGAACTGCCTAGATGTGAACTCAGTTGTTTCTGGAATTCGCATTTGGCTTTCTCGTCCTCCAGTTCAATCCTAAAAAATTACGAACATGATCAGTTAGTTTACATGTGACAATATATATTTTCATTTATCATACGTTTATTTTATCAACATACACAGTTATGAACAATATGTACTTGTTTATATTACTTTACAAAATCACCTATTAACATACATATATCACTGTAGTTTTTGAAGGATAAAAAAACACCTTATCGCTACTTCATGTGATCTTAACCCTTTTTTGTTTTTTATCATCAATACATAAATATTTCATTAGGATTAAGTAAAACATAAACATTGTCCAAAAAAGAAAAGAAAAAGGGTTGATCCATTGTTTAACTATAATTGTGAATGCACACTATGGTTATTCCACGTGTTACGTATGCCTGATCACCGATTACCACGACGCGCAATGCTGACTAGTATAGGGGATGGTTGAAAGAGAGTTAGGGGCGGCCAAACCAAAACGTGGCATCAGAGCATGAAGTCACTAACTTCTAGTCTGAACCATGTTGGTAGATGCAGACTACTTGGTTGGGGTCCACGTGACTATCGTAGCCAATGGTTGGAGACTCTGTGTGACATGGCTCAGAATCGATCACAATGGTGTAGGTGTATACACTCTTTATCCTCCCTTAAACCTTGATATTAAAATAACTTCATAACTTTCTTCCTTCCTATACTATATCCTTATATACAACCTATCTTTTATATACTACCACCACCACTAAATTATCTAATTCTATGAATCCGGTGTTGATCTAGTTGTGCTAATGAGGTATGGCAACTTGGACCGATGAATATGTGTGCCTAGTCCTACGTTGTAGCTGACTGACTGATGTAGTGAAATTGTTCACAAGTGCTTATTTATTTCAACTTAGTATTGTTTGTTTGAATCTTCCCATCGATTTGTTCGGACTGCAACTGGTCAGTCTATCCATCTCTGCTAACCATGCTTATTTATTATTATTATTTTGTCCTTAGTGTTAATTTTGTTTTTTTTTATTGTATTAATGCTATTGTTTGTTTGTTTATTATTATTATTATAAAAGGAACGTTTAGAATTGTTTGGATGTTTTCGTTTAAATTCAAGTATATTAGCTTTATTGGGACAATGTCAAGAATTAAGAGCACTTGCATTTGGACATCTTCATCATTTATCATCGGATGGTTTATTAGAACTTGTTAGCAAAGTAATTGAAATATTTAAAGTTGTTGTATATTGATTTATCTCAGTTTTGAATCGTTTATTTCCTTCACATGAATTTACTTTGCGACTTGACCTTTGCACAACCTTTTCATGTCATTAACCTTCATGAAAAAGATTTGTCTCTAAATTGAGTCTACCTATGTCGTTTTTTGTTCTTACGGCAAATAAAAAAACGGGATTACTATATAGTAGGAGAAACAGTTTAATAAAGAAAAATCCCTTCGGTTCCTCTCTTTTTTATGAAGAGTGTAAAAAAATACAGTAGAACCACCACTGGCTCCTATTCTGAACCATGTCCGGTAAAATCTCTCAAACCCAACCAGAAAGTTGTGATGAACCGATAGATCACAGTTCATTAAAGCATTCTTTCATACCTCGACACTATACCATAAATTGATCACTTTTCTGCTTTTTCCAACTACTCCCCGTGTCGAAAAATAATGCACTGTGTGAAAGTTTGTGGTAGGATATTCGTAGCACATTTCCAAGTCTCCGATGTCGATCTTTCAAGATAGTGGTACTAAATGGATTAACGTCACTTTGCTCAAATTCACATTACCGAACCTCTGTATTGCTAACGTAGTGATGTCAATAAATGTTAGCAGACCTTCAGATGTAATGATGATTGACCACTAGGATTCGCCTCACATCCTTAACTCGGGAAGATCGGGTTTCACGAGCATAAAAGAAAACTGTTCTCATCGCCGCTTTGTAGATGCAAATTTTTACAGCCAGAGTAACATGGTGATGGAGCCAAAGATGGTCCAAATAGGCATAAGCAGCTCTGACTGTAGGATGCATCTCTTCTGACACGCCACCACCATCACATTACGAATTTCGCTTTTAGTATTTTGCCTATAATATGATTATCTTCTACAAAATTTCGATTGAGTTAAATATTTTCATTAAAAAGGGTAGTTAAAGTTTAACCAGAATTCATTTATTTAGTTTATAAGTCATATTTTGGCAATATGTCACGTAGAGGAGATTTCCATCTGTCAACCAAGGAATTATTCTTCTATTCATCAGTTCGTCCTAATTTTGCTTGTGACTGTAAAACGTGGCTTTTAGAAGTTGGAGACATTTGTAGGTTGTTAGTATTTGATCGTCGACACCTTCAACGTATTGTTCGCTTATGTTGGGATCATTAAATGAACAATTCGGAGGTTAGTTGCAGTCTCTTAGATTAATCGTCATTATGAGTTTGTTTTTTTACTACCGCTTGTTCTATCACTGCTACTTTGCTCTCCATCTTGATAGTTTCGTCTTGCTGTGCTCAAGTGGTCCGGTAACTTGGACTAATGGGAATATGTGGCAGGTTCTACATCACTTATGACTAACTGACTGCCATCGTGGTTACTTTAGTTTCGACCTTTACTCCTCACTACTACTTACACAAAAGCCCAGCAACAACTCTTACCTATGAATATCTACTTGGTTACTAGGCCACCTCAAAAAGTTAAAATTACCACACTTATGCACACACACAAATGAAAACTCTCGAGTTAGCTAAATATGTGATAAAATAAACTCGAAAAAAGAAAACCAACAAGTGTCTATGTGTTTGTAATCATTTAGTGGCAAACTAAATTTCAATCTTTAGAGTACGTGGTAATTCCTTTTATCGTTTTTTTCTACAGCTACCTCATCTTTCTTCATTAGATCTACGAGGAACACAAACTTTCAGTGATGATAATAATCTTTCTCAGTTAGCAGCTAAATGTCCTCATTTGGAAGAAGTTGTTTTAGCTAATATGCATTCTTTGAAACGTGAAACTGGAATTGCCCAAATGTTACGCCGTCTGCCTCGTTTGCGTGTACTCGATTTGTGTGGTCTAGCCGCAGTTGGTGATTTAACTATGGAGGTTTTAGCCACCAGTTGTCCTCAACTAGAAGAACTTGATGTCAGTTGTACTTCTGTTACTCAAAAAGGGTAAGTTGGTAAAGGTAATTCCTTTACTTTATAGTTTATATTTTGTTTTGAATGAAAACCCTGTCTGAAACCGGTTCATAATATATTTAATATATCTGTTACTTTCATCTTTAGTTTATTTGTGGATATTTGAGATTGTTTTGGGGCATAACTGATTTCATAAAATACTGGAGTAAATCAGTAATTTGTTCACTAGACTTGCTAGACTTGAAATCCTCGCTGAATATTCATTGAGCCATAAAATCATTGGTCCAACCTATTGAAAATAAATTAGGGCCTTTTTTATAGGAAATTCATCTAGATTGACTATGAGTTTACATACTACATAATAAATGATTATCTACTAATATTCAGTACAAACATGTTGTTTATGAGTTCTCAAATTTTTAATGATGAACAAGTATGGATTGTCAAATGAAAGAATAAAATACTGGTTAATAGATGATCAACAATGATATCATATGACTGAATAGCAACTGCTTACGAGATCAGGTTATTGATATAAGTCTTTAGTGGACTGCTATCAAAAGGTCATAGTACACAGACCTTAATTTGAATGTGCATTAGTCCATATTGCCATACCACACTATTACCACAAGATGAATAACAATTGTAGCACCAATTAAGGAAGATTCAACATTGAGAAAATGGTTCAAGAAGAAAAGATGTACAGGTATATATAAATCAGTGCTTTATCTTAGGATCTGTATTGTTGGGAGCCCCCGGAAATCTCCCGAAAAAGTTTCTAGAAGTCCAGAAAATGCTGAAAATGTTTCATAAAATGGGTATCAAATGGTGCCCCCAAATGCCCTGGTACGGCCGAGTGAGGAGAGTCTGCTCTCCCTCCCCAAATGCTCTCACATGGCCACGTGCAGGGAATTTCTCACTGCCTTCTCGTGGCGGGGGTGTTGTTTACGAAATTGAGAGAACGAAAAGCGAATGTCTGGCGCTTTAACCGGTTCGGTGGACATGGATAAGGGGAGTTGGAAAACCCTGATTCCAAACCAATGGTGCACATGGGCTCTAGTATCCTGATGGAACAAATGGCGTATGAACCTATCGTTGGTCACCGGCTACCATGAGACTGCATCTCCTCACGATGCTTCACTGCCTTGTGGATCAGACCTTCAGGTCAAAGGCTCCGGGTGTGGCCCCCTAAGAAAACCACCTGCTTCAGTTTGGGCTTCTAGACAGTATCACAACTTTCACACAAATCAAATGAGATTTGTGAGGCGCATATGTATTTGGTGCTTCCTTGTACCAATACTTATGTGTTTAAATAAATAAAAAAATCAAATGGTAGCGTCTCAGAATCTTCTAAAAAATGAGGAATTATTTTTCACATTTTGATTGGATGATGGCGTATTTTGCTGCTAAATATCGTATATCTCCAGAAGCTTATTTAACATCTGCACCATCCATAAACTTTTAAATATGCATGTTCTCTGTACATAAATTAACTTTGAAGTTAATCTCCTATTCTTACTTCTCACTTTTTTTTACTGAACATTTCAAGCGTAGTCTGGTAACAGAAAGTGAGTAGGAAGTTAGTAGCAAGCGTTGGAGTAGAATGCATCATATTGAACGATAAAGGTTGTGAGTATCTACACCATTCTGATCTGTTGTGGTCCCATATCAGCCATCCTCAACCACTGGCTGCGGTTATCGCCACTACTTTGGTCTCCAACGGCGGACATTGTCCAAACTAACAGTCAATTATTTTATTGGCTGATCCCACCTTACCTCAATATACATAGTGCAAGCAGTGTCGAGCCACCTAGACTGGTGGTCACATTGCAACTCGATCGATAGCATTCGATCAGCACTAAGAAGGACCTGACACGCATGAGATTGATCACCACCCAGTGATCAATCAATTGTGATTACATCTCAGTCCTACAGGAGGTTGGTCGCGGCCCGAATAGCTCAGTGGTAACGTCTCTGACTGTGAAGCTGAGTGACGCGGGATCGAATCCGCCAGGGAGCATCAGTTCCCTCAGGATTACAGGTACACCTTGCTGACGAGTGCCAAGTAGCACGAAACCCGGGTCCAGGGTTTCCTGTTGACCACCTCCAACCACCACCTTACCTCAATATACATAGTGCAAGCAGTGTCGAGCCACCTAGACTGGTGGTCACATTGCAACTCGATCGATAGCATTCGATCAGCACTAAGAAGGACCTGACACGCATGAGATTGATCACCACCCAGTGATCAATCAATTGTAATATGACATTCTGTTATGCAAAATATCAACACAAAATAAACATGATTAAATATCACATTGCATTTAGGAGTTCACTGAAATCATGAACCAATCTAAGTTAGATCACCATTGGAAACCTAAAAGCACTGGACGGCCTTTTCGTCTTAGTATGGAACTCCTTAGCAGTGCCTATCAACGACTCCGCACGTCTGACTTTAACCCAGGACTTTCGGTCTCTCGCGCGAACGCTTAACCTCTAGACCACTGAATCCGCATTTAACGGTATTAATATCTAAGATTAATGAATTGGAAATGATCACTCACCACTTATCTGTTATAGAGAAAAGATTGTCAGTTCATCAATTTAGCGTTTATGTTACGCGGTATATAGATTTCTATAAGCATTTAGATCAAATCAATAGGCTTTCTATTTTGATTTTATGTGCCCATCTATTGATTAAGACACTATTGTTAACCTATCATTCTTCAATACTGCAACAGTATACCCACAATAATGTAAATGTTAAAACTAAAACATGTTTATAACAAACTGAATGCTTAGTTGTTTTACGAGGGTAACGACGTTTCAATAAGTAGTGAAATAAATTTCTGACAACTTACTGCCTAAAAGGAATTGCTTCTTCAGTAAATAAACAATTTAATTTGCAAGAAGCAATTAAATTATACATTCAGTAAATACATGGTAATATGTTGAAAAAAACATGTTTCTGTTGTGTTATTTAAGTCAAAACTGTTTGTCCTTCTAGTGGCTGAATGTGTTAAGGTTACCTCAGTCGCCCAAGGTTCACAGCTTCATTAACCGACTTACTAGATCTATAGTGTACGCCTTATCTCAATATTTCTTTCTCACGGGTTCTATCGTACCCAAACGAGTAAAATAAATCTGTTTACAATCATAAGAATAGTTCAAAACATGTAGTTGACCAAATCAGAAGACATATTATCACAGTGAAAAGATTGGTCTAGTGTTTACTCCATACCCTGCTCTATGTATGTATGATATAATTATTTATTTAACTGAATCGCTTCACTTTTTTTCTTTGCATTTTCAGTTTATTCCATCTAACAAATGCTCCTGCAGTATGTTTAAAATGTTTACGAATTAGCCATTGTAGAGAAATAACTAGTGATGTACTTGAAAAGTTGATTGAAGCCTGTCCTAAGTAAGTTACAATATTTATATTATTTCCTGTTTACAAATTAACAATAATAATGATGATAATTAACCGGGTAGGGTTAATACTATCGCTTTTCCCGAACATCCAACCTAAATTATCATTAAGTTTGGGATTATTAAAAGATTGGATTACTACTGGTTCACAATGGTGTAAGATTAGTATGTATGTATAAATTAGATGGATAAGTATTCTGTTTCATATAACTATGGTGACTTCTGTTTGTTCAGAATAATCGTACATGAATTCTCTACTGTATGTAGAATCTCTATCGTCTTTGCTAGGATATAACACTTCCAAGCACCACTGTACATATCAACATAGAGCACGCGATGTCGAGTCGCCGAGACTAGTGGCCACATTGCAACGTAGTCGATAGAATTTAATTTGCATTAAAAAGGAACTAACACACATGACATTCGTCACTACCCAGTGATCAATCAATTATAAATGAGTTATTTAATATTGTACATTTGTAGTTGTGATTGTTGTTGTAAGCGTGATTTTAAAATTTACTGTCTGATGAAAGACATAGTGAATGCATTTGTGTCATTATAGGCTTTTATGAGCTATATTATCCAACGTCTTCAACCATTAATGGCAATAATCGCAAGGACTCAAGTCATGTATTGTAAATCTACATATACTGCTCAGTCCGACTGTGGGGTGACTTCATGAACTGAATCTACGCCTTGCTTTAACCCTACTTTTATACCAGTCAAGAAGCATCGTACATAGATTTTAAGAAGAAAAACGAACTTTAGCACTCTACTGTAATTTCATTTTATTTGTTATTATTATTTGCACTACTTTTGTTTTTCCACATTGCGCATTATTTGCCGACTCTGGGACTGGTTGGAAAAAGCGGAGAGGTGGTCAGTGTATGACATGGTGTCGTGGTATGAAAGAAAGCTGCAAAGGGCTAGCTTCTGTTGGTCCTTCACGACTCCCTGGCTGGAGTCCAAGAGATGGTGCAACACAGTGGCTAGAGACGTTATCAGTTATGGCTCAGAATAGAAGCCAGTGGCGAGCCTTCTGTAACCTTCTTTTACTTTCTTAACTGAAAGAGTCTTCTGGTTGTACATTTCAGTCCCCCCATAATTACTCTTTTTTTTCCTTTATATATACGCATCTTCCTTCTTTGTCTTCCCATTCTCATTGTTTTGTGTGGCGCATATGTATCTGGTAATCCTTTTGTATCAATATGTTTGTGTTTAAATAAATAAATAAATAAATTTGTTTGTTTATCACATTCCAGATAATGATGTATTTCTTTCCCCTTATTTTTTTCAGATTAACATTATTGTATGCTTATGGATTTGTTTCCATTAATGATTGGGGTTTCCTTCAAAAAATACGTCCTACTTTATTAGTAGAGAAAGGTATTTAATTCAATGAAGCAATTTAATGATTATTATTACTACTTCAATTCTAATGGAAAAGTAAATACCACTAAAATTAATAATGAATGTGCGTGCAGTTAGTAAAATCACTGATCCAATTTCTTTCTTCTGTTTGTTTTTTTTTTTTTATAAATTACATTTTAATCTTATCATTAGAATGTGTATCCTGTTAAATCTACTTACTTACTAACGCCTGTTTCCTACTGTCCCCCGTCCATCCATTGTGGAGTAGCATAGATTATCATCCAACAGGATTACTAAACTAATAATGAATTACAAAATGCACACAAAAAATATTATATCTATAAATATCAATACATTCACTTTCAAATTTAAAAAAAAATAGAAGAGGGATACTATAGTTCATATAGAGTTGTTGTTGTTGTTGTTGTTTTGTTTTTTTTTCATTTATCCTTACATAAAATACTTTAATAAATAAGTTCCGGTGAATATCTATCTTTATTATTGAATAAGTTAATGTTTTTCTTATTTAGTGTTCTCCTTTCTTTCTTTCTTTTTTTGTTTTTCTATATTAGTTGTCTTTTAATTATTGATTTCAATTTGTATCACTTAATAGACTATCAATTTTTGTTGTATACTCAAATTATAATGGATCATTTAATTATTAATTTATATTAAAAGAATATTTAAAAAAAAAGAACGTAATGACTACTAATTACTACTAATGAATTAATTAATTAGCCATTTCATTGTATCCATCTATTCATTGACTATACAAATAGATAGATAATCATTCTTCTTCTTGTTTAAAATTACTCATTCCATCATCTTTATTATAAATCTCCCTCTCTTTTTTTTTCTCTCTCTGTGTGTGTGTGTCTATGTATCTCTATAGTTTTTTCTCTCTTTTTTTGTTTTATTTTATTATTCAATAAACTAATAATCATTTCAGTAGTATATATAGTGTATAATCATTATTACAAATAATTAATCTTTATATACTACTACTATTTAGATTAATTAGTTACTATGGATGTATTTATAAATAATAATAAAACAAATTTGATAATTCTGTAGTTTTGTTTATATTGATGATGATGATGATGATAACATTGAACTGTTCAATGATGTATATATCATCATCATTGAACTATTATTGTTTCATTTCGTAATATACTACTTATTTATTTATAAAGTGTAATTATCTATTCTAGTTTGTTTGTTTGTTTGTATGAATGCTTTTTTTTTAAAAAAAAAATCAAGTTTAATTAAAGAAATTAATTTTGTTTATTTTATTCATTTATAACATTTAATATCAATCAAACATACACACACACGCACACCATAGATGCTCCTTTCCTTCGTTCATCTTTTTTTTATAGCGGGTTTTTGAATAATAATGATGATAATAATGGAAAGAACTATTACTGGTTGTGTGTTCAGTCTACTTCATCTAATGGAATATTGTTTAAATTGTAAGAAATTTGGTTCTTTTTCTTCTTCTTCTTTCTTATGTTACCGTATGGTTTTTCTCATTCACTTTTTCTCCTCTATTAATCGATTATACAATTCACTATCCTATATATATATTGTATATTTATCATTATCATTTGAACAAATGATATGGTGTCGTTAAGTAGATCTATTGTATATTGTTGAAATGTTTTTGTTCATCTCACATTCTATTGTAGTATCCTTTTGTCTTGTTAGTATATATATATATAATCTTTCTTCTCTTGTATAATCGTATTACTTTATTCCTAATATTCCTAAAATTTACTTCTCTTACATTATTACCTGGTGGTTAATTGTGTATCTAATTGTTTGTTTGATTGACTAAATCTTCACAATCACCATAGATACATATACATTATGACCAAGGAAGTATTAAATATGAAACTATAATATAAATACTATAACATGAAGAAAGTGCTATTTACATTGTATATTGTATTGGTTATTACATAAGTAAATATATTGAATTACACTATATATATGACAGTAATTATGACTATTATCATTATGCTTATTACTGTTAACATGTACCTACTTACTTACTTACTTACTTAACTCTTTATCTATAAATAGTTTCAGTCTTTCGATTACTGTTTATTATCGTTCTTCTTCACCTTCTTATCATTATTATCTTTACTGTTGTTCTGCGGATAAACAACTTTTTCTTTGTTAGATATAAACAAAAGAAAGCATTCAAATGAAGTAAGAAGACTTCCAGTTAGAAAAAGAAAATTAATTATGTTCTGTGTTTTTTTTTCTCGGAATAACGATATTTGCCTGTTTGTTTGTTTGCCTTTTTCTTTCATATTAAAAGTACTTTGATATGAATCAAATTGTTTATTACATAAGTCCCTTAAACAATTTAACATTTTCATAGTTGAGAGTGTGAGTCATTTGAATCTAAACCACCAGGGAAAACATGGAAGCACTGGACGACCGTTTCGTCCTATTGTGGAGAATCCTCAGCAACATTCGTTCATTCTTCTAGTCCATAATACTGTCATTCAACATTATTTCACATTCAAAATGCAAAATTATCATTTAGTTACATACTACCGATTTCCTAGCTATTGGGTTGTTGAGTTCTAGTCTAAATGATGCTTCTTGGTCTTAGACATGACTTTTGACTTAAACATTACAGATTTTTTATTTCAACTTAAATTTTTGGGAGAACGGATAAAAATTCCCATGTAGTCTATAAGATAGTATGCCCCACCATGGGGAATTTTACTCACTGCCTTCTCTTGGCGTGAGTGTTGTTTACGAAACTGAGAGGACGAAAAGCGAATATCCGGCGCTTTAACTGGGTTGGTAGACATGGAAAGTTTACCTATGGTAGTTGGAAAACCCTGATTCCAAACCAATGGTGCACGTGGACTCCAGTATTTTGAGGGAACAAATGACGTATGAATCAATAGTTGGTCACCAGCTACCATGGGACTGCATCTCCTTACGATGATCCGTTGTTAAAATATCTTGACTTTTCTTTTGAAAAACACCTTGTAAATAATAATTAATTCCATAAGGTGTTAATTAAGAAGGTGGTTGTAAAATACTGAAGTTTTATAGTGAGCATATGATTCGACTTAAAATTTACTCTACACACATATACATTTGATTATTGTTAATACCCACATTATTATCACTAATACTGTGTTAGGCACCTGATTTCCTGGTGTAAATTGTATAGTTAAACTGCAGCAAAAATATATATCTTGTTTTAAATTGGTAAATAATCTTAGATCTTGAAAAATATGATGATTTCATGAGTGTGTGTGTATTGTGTTGTGATGTCAATAGACATAAGTAGTATGTAACATCAATCAGCTGTGGAATACCTGTTAGTAGAAGTTTGAGAAGATCGAATTAAAGAGAACAAAAATGTAAACAAAGAGTAATTGTAATATAAATCAAGAAACGATAGAGTTTTAGACAGTCGGTGGAAGATTTACATTTTACGAATGAAATTTAACTGCATTAAATCATAAATTTGTTGTTCCCACCTGAGTTCTCATTCACAACAGTCTAATTAGTACTATATCTAATAATAAGCAGTACTTGGTAAGCATAGATCTAGCTGTTCTGAATAATAACTGTGGATTCTTTCTAAACATTTACATATTTTTTCTGAGTTTGAAGGGCAAAACTCATCATTTTAAAAGTCATATAGGAATATCATTCGAAAAATGACAAATTGTCAATTCAATAACCCACAACCTTATTTTTTTGAGATGGTAACCTTCAGCATAGATATAAATTTACCTTGACTGTTTTCGAACTAGTGGTTTTTAAAGTGAAAATCCGCCCAAATATTTGATATTTCTGACTGTGGTAAGTGTTTTAATTAGATTGTTAATTCCTGAGAGTTTTACTTGTTTCTGTGATATGAAAAGATTGTAATATCAGTAGGTGAAACTATAGAGTAGACCGACGGGCTTCCATCAGTTGTAAGGAGCCAGAAGAAACCCAGTGCTTGTAAGCGGGACGTTTCGCGAAGCCGCAAGCGGCTTTACTCGCCATTTTCATGGCGTCGTGAAGATGCAACCAATGCTCATCTATACTTTTCGGTGGGGTGTTAGCTAGCCTAGAGGCTAGCTCAGCTCGATACTTACTTGCAACAGAAGTTGCAGCCAGTTTACTAACATCAATCCGTTGGTGGTGGTCAATCCTTCGGCCACTGAAAAGTAAGGTGAGATTGGCGCAGACCAGGGCATGATCAGACTCCAGATAGGTACTCCAAAAGGAGTGGCAGTCTTGTACACAACCACGCCAGCGGTAGCTGATCGCGATGTGATCAATCTGAGTCCAGGCTTGGGATGCAGAGGAAGGACTCCAGGTGGCACACCGGCGATGACTGTGCCGGAAGTTAGTGCTGGCCAGAAACAGGTTGTGGTCTGTGCACAGTTGCAGCAAACGGTCCCCGTTATCTGTCCTGCGACCAACAAGTCCCCATCGGCCACCTAGACGACTCTCTTCTGTGCCTAGACGCCCGACCTGTGCATTCAAGTCTCCGGCTAGTACTACAATATCTGTCGAACGCGCTTTCTGGAGAAGAACTGTTAAATGATGGTAAAGCTCATCCTTGATTGCATCCGGGCTGCAATCTGTCTGGGCATAGGCGGAGATTCTCACGCCGATTTCTTCTCACTTTGATGGAACTTTCTAATCTAACAGCACATAACCGACTGTTAATGGGGATCCAATCGATTAGTGCTGCCTCAGCCCTAGCGCTTAGTGCAACACCAACGCCAGCAATACCAGACCAAGATGCCACAGGGTCCCCGGATAAGCGCACGTGGAACAAGCTTTTCGAGGCGACAGATGGAGAGCGGATTTGTAGTACTTCACTAGAGTCTTGAATACGGGTCTCGGATAGACAACAAACATCAACATTAAGACCTTCCAAAGACATAGCCAGCCCCATTTGTTGTCCGATCTGCATTAGTGTGCGAACGTTGAAGGAAGCCAGCTTGAACGGCGTACGTGGTTTCAGAAAGACTGCCTCAGTATTCATTATCGGTGGAAGCATTCACTTTTAACCAGACAGTGACTGGAGATCGTTTAGATAGGATAGATTTTCCACCAAGAGCGAGCTGCTGCATAAGTTGAAAAGTAAGGTTACACAAATTGGGGATAAAAGGGGGTGAATTAGCGATATGGTGAATAATAATAATAATGTAAATTGTCTTGCTTCTAGTATGAGCAGGAATAGTATCGTCAATAGAATTCATCATTTCATTTATTTGTGTGTGGGCTGTGATACTGCCCGGGTGCCCAAACCGAAGCAGGTGGTTTTCTTAGGGGACCACACCCGGAGCCTTTGACCAAAAGGTCTGATCCACAAGGCAGTGGAGCATCGTGAGGAGATGCAGTCCCATGGTAGCCGTTGACCAATGACAGGTTCGTCCGCCATTCGTTCCATCAGGATACTGGAGCCCATGTGCACCATTGGTTTGGAATCAGGGTTTTCCAACTCCGTGTCCACCAACCTGGTTAAAGCGCCGGACATTGACTTTTCATCCTCTTAATTTCGTAAAAAACACCCGTAGTGCGAGAGAGCAGTGAGTAGGACTTCCCTAATAGAGGCTATATATGCGTGACCGTGTTAGATCATTTGGAGAAGGAGAGCGGACTCTCCCCACTCTCGGTCGTACCAGGACATTTGGGAGCTATGCTTATACACAGCTACTTTAGTGATATTTCAGTTGCTATGTGTGTTTTTTCCTACATGTTAACAAGTAACTTGTTGCTTTCGGACAATTTCTGCTGATACATATATATGCACCATTTTATAACTGATATTATTTGTTTTGTGTTTTGCTAATTTATCCTACTCAATAGACTGATCATAAGTACGTTTCTGTAAAGTTCAATAGTGAATTATTATCGAAAGTGGTTATCTCAAGTTGTGTTCATTAAAGTTGGTATGGCAACTTGAACTAGCATACATTTGTCCCTGGGTTTACGCTTACTGACTGATTAAAGAATCCTACCGTCAGTTACTATTTACCTTCCTTATTGATCTACTGCAAATGACAATCTCCTTTCAACTTTTTGCGAACTGCTTTTTAACACTAAACCATTGTAACCTATCAAAATTTCATAAAGTACCTACTATTAGGTGTAAGCTTTAATAAAATTCTGAATTTTCAATTCCTTCAATTAAAATATAAACATGTCTAAAATACATTTTTCATCTTGAAAATTGAAGAATATTGTCTCGCGACTAACCTAAGTCAGTATTTATTGTAACAGTAATAGATGAAATCATTTAGTGAGTGTAGATTACTCACTAGAATCTTAACGAATACCCATGAGTTGGTCAGGCTTTTACTAACACCATCCATTTCTAACATACCTAAAATATTCAAATACCTATCTAAAGTTAAATGTACTACACAGTAGCCCACTCTTTGTGTAACATAATCATTGAATAATGAAGGCATTCAAATGTTTTTGGAGGTACTTAACCGTAAATGTAGCGTTATATCAATTTTACTTTCATCACTAGTATAAGATATCTTATGGATGCTCAACTGTGCATTTTTCCTACTTCTGTAATTAATCGTTCAAGCTATGAACGAGTGTAGAAAAGCGCAACCTGACCGCGTATCCTAACTATCTGTGTTTAATGTTAGTTAGTAACTATTAAAAAATATCACGGACTTGTAGTAATAATATGATTGGATATTATCGATCGCACTTTTCAAGTTCCAGTTACGAAAACTGTTATGTCTTGTAACCGCTAATTGGTTATGGCTCCTAATACTAATTGGTATCACTTGCTATATTCCCAAATCAAGATTCAGACTATCAATTATTTCAATTATATTGCCGATAGAACCGGCAATTGAGACATTGACCAATGAACAACAGCGAGACTTCGATGTTTATTGGTCCTCGAGCTCATCCCAAGCCAGTTGCTAATCATAATACGTGGATAAGAGGTACATTAGTTCTTTATTTTATTCAATTCAATTATGACCCGAAACATACAATCATCTACCTGAAAAGCTTGACCATATAGTACACAAAAGAAGAAATCACAGTAATCACAATTATATCCAAACGTAGTAGAGGACGGAGCAAAACGTACATAATTAGCAATAACATAATGTATAATGACACTTGATAGATCTACTTAAAGCTTAAAATACGAGAAATACGATAATAAGTTTACCAACTGATCACGCAATAAAAAATATAAAAAATTCGAAAAATAGTCTTAAAGAACCCTATGTTTTTTTCAATATTCGTCCCGTTGTAACAGAAAGAATCCATTATGTGTTGCAATGCAGTCAGTCAGTCAGCTACAACATAGGACCTACGTTGTTGTAATGCATGTCTTCATCATATCGATTACTTTATTCGTAAAAGAAATACACGACATAATAATTATCTCTTAGTATTTTACTTTAACAGATAGTTAAACATGGTCATTCACGCCAACACGTCTCACAATTACAGGCTAAAGAAGAGGAAGATTTAGCACAGGGTAAATAACTTTTATAGTGTAAACTTTATATGAATATTTCTACCTTATTACGTATTGTCACCTCATTTATAGTAGACTTTATGTAGCTTTGTCCATGTATTAAAAAAAAGTTCGAAACTTATCAGCGCAAGGAAACATCTAGGTTACTGACTGTCATGCTGCTCAGTAATCTGGGAAAAAGTACATCAATTGAAATTCTGACTTATTCTTTTCGAGTCCAAATACGCTAGTTCATCTATCGACTGATAAGTGATAGACGTCTAGTCCATCATGAGTAACTTTGATCATTGATGAGATAGTCTTAACTTATATAGGTTTTAGAACGTATACCCTTCTTCTAGCCCAGTTTTCAGTTCGATAATTAAACATAACATGCCGTAAGACAGTTGTATATCTTATATTGATCTTTCATTACGATAATATATAGAATTATTTCTTGATCTGCACATCAACATGAATGGTAAATTACAGCACAAGCATAACTATGTCAAAAGTGAAAGTATGAAAAGTTGTTTATTTTATGTTACTTGAACACATAAATATTGGTACAAGGAAGCACCAGATACATATGCGCCGCACAAATCTCATTTGATTTGTGTTACGGCTGTGATACTGCCCAGGTGTCTGAACTGAAGCAGGTGGTGTTCTTAGGGGGCCACACCCCGAGCCTTTGACCTGAAGGTCTAATCCACAAGGCAGTGGAGCATCGTAAGGAGATGCAGTCCCATTGTAGTCGCTGACCAACGATTGGTCCATACGCCATTTGTTCCCTCAGGATACTTGAGTCAGCCCATGTGCACCATTGGATTGGAATGAGGGTTTTCCAACTCCCCTAGGTGGAGTTTCCGTGTCCACCAACTCGGTTAAAGCGCCGGACATTGACTTTTCGTCCTCTCAATTTCGTGAACAACAGTAATTCCACGAGAAGAAAATGATTAGGACTTCCATGGCAGATACTTTATACGCATGGCCATGTGAGAGTATTTGGAGAGGGAGAGCGGACTTTTCCCACTCTCCGTCGTACCGGGGCATTTGGGGGCTTAAAATGTTTGGTCGCTAAACAAATATAACTAAAAAATAGTAAAATGTACATCGATAGTTGATGGATCCATTAAAAGCTTACAATAATTTTAATGTATAAGGCAATAACACATTTGTCTGTTTATTATGCACTAGACAGCCGTTTCGTCCTATTGTGGGACTCCTCAAAAGGTATTTCCTGGAGAAGCAGTGACCAGTGGAGTTCAACCGGGTCTGTTGTGAGATAATAACTCACTGAAGACAATAGTGGATGTGTCACTCAATTTCGTGGATTCGTTGAAGTTAGACACTAACACTGTTGGATGCCGGCTCAGTGGTCTAGAGGTTAAGCGTTCGCGCACGAGACTGATAGATCCTAGGTTCGCATGTTGCGAGGCGGGGTCGTGGATGCGCACTGCTGAGCCCCACAATAGGACAAAGCGGCCGTCCAGTGCTTCCAAGTTTTCCGTGGTGGTCTAGCTTCTATTGACTCATGATCTCAACTTCTAAAATTACTAACCCCTTCTAATATTAATTTTTATGCAATAAAAATGTGAATGGTAATCAGCAAATGAGTTCCAGTGTCTTCCTTGGATTCCAGTGTTTTATCGTTCATATACCTATCTACCCGGTGTTTCCAAACCATATTCCAAAGATCTAGTATTTTTTAATCACTGCTACTAAACTATTTCAATCACTTTTATTGTTTCTATTTCATTTCGCTGATCTTGGGTATGGGGGAACTTGAGCTAACATACATGTGTCAGGCTCCACGTTGATAATATTCGTTTGTTTACATCATTCCGACTTTCACCACTTATTTTTTCATAGCCATTTAATTGGGCGTAAATTACCTGTTGATGTTCACGTGACTTTGAACAAAAAAGCTCAAAATCGTCAACAGAGCAGGTGCATTTACTCTTCGCTTTCCCTAATTTCTTTGGAACCCGATATCTTAGCTTTTTTCTACATCTAATCTTTTTTTTACAACTACTGATACTGTTAGTGCTTCTACTCTGAGATTTATCTTGATAATTTCCTCTCGCTGTTTCATTGTGATGTAACAGCCCAAGTCAATACACACTTATGTCAGGTTCTACATTACATAAGACTGACTGAAAAGTTTTCTTTTATTGGTGGCTAGATTTCAGTAGTGATAAACACTATCCGAACATTCTTACACTGTCATTCTAAGCATCCAAACACTACATTGTATTAGCTTCATATAAAACTGTGTCATCCACGTGCTTCCGGTTAAAATGGTGCGGGTTCCCCAGGTAGATAATCTGTGGACATTCATGAGTAGATCTGTAAAAGAATGTTAATTTAAAATTGATCAACATTAATGTTCAATTTGATTATATGCCGTACACTACATGTTTTGCAAACAGTGAAATTTTGTCTTCTGTCAGAAATAGATATGTCGTTAATTTTTTTTGATCCCAGTTTTACGTATCTCTATTCCTTCAATTTCTCTCACAGCTATTGCTTTATCACTGAAAGATACTGACAATTCAGCGTCATCCCATCCAAACAAACAGTCTGTTTCCACTTCAAATGAGAAGACTAGTTTATATCCTTCTTGCTCTCAACTTCCATTTAATTCACTTTCAACTTATTCAACGTCAACATCATCATCAAATCGCTCTAAAACAACTGTTCCTCGCAATTCAAAGGGACAGGTAAGAGCATTGTACGATTTTGAAGCAGCTGAAGACAATGAATTATCATTCAAAGCTGGAGAGCTTATCTTACTCTTAGATGATTCCGATGAGAATTGGTGGCTTGGAAGCAATAGCAAAGGTCAAGGTTTATTTCCCGCTCAATTTGTCAAACGTGAAATTGAACTTGATGGAGTAAATAATGTCAAATCAAGTCCAGGCGAAGTTTCTCACAATACAGATGTTAAAAGAAACCAACCTTCCAAAAAAATTGTCCCCCAACTTGATGAGAAGAAAATTGATGAATGTTTACGTTTAATTACAACTGTAGATCCTACTGGTGAATTTCAACAAGATCCACCAGAATTAAGTCAACTTGAAGCAGAATGTGTAGCAATGGTTCCACTTGTTGATCCTGAATTAAAATTAGTTGATAAAGAAATTATTATGCTTACAGAATTAAATCAACGTTTATTAGATGCATTTCAATTGCATCATGATATTATGTCACGTCAGAATCCTTCAAATGCTTATTATAACGGAATGTCTAATACTATTACTAACACCACGACCAACTCAATAAATCCAACAATCCCTTACTTACCACCAAATACTCCGAATATATATCCATATACACAGCCAGAATCGTCAATGACTAAATCTTCATCGGCAGTACCTATGGTATGTATTATTAATTTATTATTATTATTACGTGATTACCTTGGTCTATAATCCACTTGTTCATTTTTAGTGTTATAGAACCAGTTGAACAATAACACTATATTGTTTGCTTTTTGTTATTGTCATGAGTGTTGACCTGCAAATTGTATTATTTTCATTGGGAATTTATTTACGTTACTGTTGGCTATATCTGTCTGTGATCTTCAAAATCATTCCACTGAGGTTTCGTTCAATTTGAGAGTAAAACATTGAGGAAAAAAAGATCGACGGGTTGGAGTCGCAACTTTACCAAATCCTCTGGTAGAGCCGATGGTTTGAATAGTCCTCCTTCATATGGCCACACGTACGTACATACCCACTGCCAAAAAAGTCCTACTCACTGTCTTCCAGCAGCAAAAGTGTTGTCTATGAAATTGAGAGGACAAAAAGCCAATGTCCAGTGGGGGTTTGAACTGGGTTGGTGGGTATGAAGGATCCATCTAGTAGAGTTGGAAAACCTTGATTCCAAACCAATGGTGCACATGGGCTGCAGGATGATGAGAAGATAAATGGTGTATGAGCCTATTCATGATCACCTACTATGTTATGTAACTATTCACTTCAAGGATTTTCCCAGCTGATTGATTTTAGTCTGTTGATGACAAAAAATATGCTTTTTTGTGTATGACATGCCTTCTTTTAATTTAATAACAATGATTGGTTAAGCTACCTTATCTTCAGGTTTTTGTTCGTTATTTAGTAAACTTTTTTCAACATTCCATGACTTAGTTTCTTCGACTTCATAACACTTAGAAATTGTTATTATTCGTAAACATTTGTGTTTTTCCCATTGTTAATATTCAACCTTTGTACTCCATGAAATACCTGTCCTGGATTCTACCTCTGGCCACTATCCATAAATATGATTTAAAATTCCTGTTATTAATTTCTTCTTTATTGAAGTGTACAAGCGTGAACAAATGGACATTATCAACATGGGACCTGACACAGATGTACATTGGCTCATGTTCCCATACCTGATTGACACGATAAGATGAAAATAACAAAAGTGGTCGAAATAATGTAACGGCAGTGATAAAAGGAAAAATAAATCTTGAGAATATGCTTCAGAAGAGCAGTGAGAAGATATGTACAAAGTGATACTGGAATCCAAGATCTAGAGGAAGATAAATAGTGAATGATTAAGCCATGTCATCTAAAGTCTCCAACTAGTTATCGTGGTTGTTACATTGACTCTATCAAGATAGTGTATACCTATTTACATGGCTCAATTCAATTTCCACAAACTTCATGGAATGAAACTGAGTTTTGGTTTGGTCGCCTCTAGTTTTCTCCCAACCTAATGACTGGAGATCGTTTAGATAGGACAGAGTTTCCACCATGGGCGAGCTACTGCATAAGTTGGAAAGGAGGGGTACACAATTTGGGAATAAAGGGAGTGAAAAAGCGACGTAGTTAGTAATAGTAATAATAATAATAGTGTAAATTGTCTTGCTTCTAGTATGATCGAGAATAGTATCGTCAATAGAATTCACCATTTCATTTATTTGTGTGTGGGCTGTGATACTGCCCGGGTGCCCAAACTGAAACAGGTGGTTTTCTTAGGGGGCCACACCCGGAGCCTTTGACCTAAAGGTCTGATCCACAAGGCAGTGGAGCATCGTGAGGAGATGCAGTCCCATGGTAGCCGTTGACCAACAATAGGTTCATTCGCCATTCGTTCCTTGAGGATACTGGAGCCCATGTGCACCATTGGTTTGGAATCAGGGTTTTCCAACTCCCCTAGGTGGACCCTCCATGTTCACCAACCCGGTTAAAGCGCCAGACATTCGCTTTTCGTCCTCTTAATTTCGTAAACAACACCCTCGCCACGAGAAGGCAGTGAGTAGGACTTCCCTGGCAGAGGCTATATATTCGCTGGCCATGTGAGAGCATTTCGAGAGGGAGAGTAGACTCTCCCCACTCTCGGCCGTACCAGTGCATTTGAAGGCGTACAAATATTATTTTCTATTTGATGGTGTGATGCGGTCTGTCTGTCTGATATATAAACCGAGTATGTTCGAAATAAATGATTCGCATAGCAGAAGCTGTAATTTGTGTTCTGGACTCACTTAAAAGGGTTAGGCAGACAAGGGACCAATAAGGAGTCTAGACTGCTTACACCAGTTGAACGTTATTGATTTGGCACAGTGTTGAGATTGGAAAAGCCTTATTCCGATTGTCGGATAACTCATTTAATAAAAATCCGGACATAGAATTATAACGAATTAGATACGGCCTTCGTATTATATAGTCATAAGAAATTAGCGACGGCCTTTCATAAAGTCATAACAAAACATTTAAATGTGATTTGCATACAATAGAATTATGACTTAGATCTTTTGATCTGTTTAACGATCGCATATGATAGATAATAATATAAGTTATTTAGGCTATAGTGAAAATCCTGCGTTGACTGAATGTCTCTTAACAGCCACAAACCAGGGCGAAACAGCTGTTCCGTATAATTATAAATATACCGTATAAGTGGTAACTACATTGATTTTCAAGAGGACTAGATACCATTCAAACTTTTTCAAGTTGAACAGTACAAAGCTCAATCCTGTTGGAAAACTAAACAGGCATTGAAAATCCCAATTATTTAGTCCTGCATAATTGTTAATACTTCACCAGTTTACTTCAATTTTTAGTGAAAATAAACTATATGTATTGATAGATAGTGGCTAGCAGTGGAGTTCACGACGCGCGTTTCGTCCTATTTGGGACTCGTCAGCTGGATGTCCTAAACATCAATGAGAAGATTCAAGCAAACAATACTAAGTGTATATGTATTGATGTTTGATAGTTAGAATAATAGAATTTGAAATATGTGAATGATTTCTGAAAACAGTATCTTCTTTGTTTACTTTTGGATTTTGGATTAATTAGCTTCTATTCTTGTTCTAAGCAAATAATGAATGTACATGTGAAATGCATTTAGTGATATCTAGAGGTTATTGATTTCAGTATCTTTTCCAGACTTTAGAATTCTACAATAAAATATAAACATCCTTGTCTTTGTGCATAAATCAACCTCAAGATTTTCTCTTACTACTTCTTTTTCTTGTTCGACGTTCAGAAAAGGATTTTGAAGGGTTAGAAAGTTACTCAGAAGTCAATGTTTGAGCGTTTAAATAGTAAACGTATCAAGGATAAAATCCTTCGTTATCTGATGTGATTTGTATTGGCTTCTAATCTTGTTGTGTAAATCTACATTAAAATGTAGGTAAATCCAACTGAGTCTCAAGTAAAGAAAAGTTTTAATTCCAAATTCTACTAATAGACACAACTCAAATATACTATATTGATAAAGTAATTAGAAATCTCAGTTAATTAATTACTTTTTCAGTATTAGTATTTGAAAGCATTATTCATTGAAATTACGGTTTTGACTATTAGATAAATGCAACAATTTCCCTGGAATTCAAACTGTTAGGAAGTATTGATTCTTGAGATGATGGAGAAGATTTATAATTCAGGTGGATGATATTATTTATTTATTTAAACACATAAATATTGGTACAAGGAAGCACCAGATAAATATGCGGTGCACAAATCTATTTCGATTTGTGTGAGGGCTGTGATACTGTCCAGGTGCCCAAACTGAAACAGGTGGTTTTCTTAGGGCACCACACCCCGTGCCTTTGAAGCATCGTAAGGAGATGCAGTCTCATGGTAGCCGGTGACCAACAATTGGTTCATATGCCATTTTTTCTCTCAGGACCCTGGAGTCTATGTGCATCATTGATTTGGGTTCAGGGTTTTCCAACTCCCCTAGGTGTATCCACCACATTCATCAACCCAGTTCAAGTGTCAGACATTCGCTTTTCGTCTTCTCAATTTCGTAAACAACACCCCCACCACGAGGAGATCAGTGAGTAGGACTCCCCTGTTAGTGGCTATGTGAGAGCATATCGATAGGAGGGTAGACTCTCCCTATCCTCGACCGTACCAGTGGCACTTGGGGGTGCTCCTAAGTATTTGGAAGCTTTTTGAAGCATCTTTTAACATGTATCACTGAAAAAGAAAATTTTATTTGATTTTCATGACATAGATACCATACAATTATGCATTGAATCATTCTTTATATATATATATATATTATATACACCGATTTATATCATCATCCATTGACTTGATTCCTTTTTTTTTTTCTTTCCAATTATTCTAGAATTTTCGACTGTTATTATGGCACACTAATCAATAATTATACATTTAAACAAACCGAAAAAGAAGATTAATGAGTATTATAAATTATAACAGAAATGGTTAGTTAATTAATGAATGATGCCTTATATGATTACATCCATCTATCTATCTATATCCATCATATGATCTAGGTTAACTGTTACTATGAAATGATCTTATGAGTTGATTTATGTTTCTATGTATGTATAATTAAAACAAAATATGTACACTTTTTGATAAGAATTATTAATTCAATACAGACTTTTAGTTAATTTGAAAATATTCAATTCATTTAATATTGTTTGATAGTATCTTCCTATGGTTGGTTAAGATTGTAATTGATCAGTTTCTTGTTAATATAATATGTATCATATGTGGATTGATTATATATTGACTGCAGTCATAAATCTGCTTCCTGGATTTCACTGGTAGTCATCATCTGTTTTTGCTTAACATGCTTGATAATGAAGACAATATCGAGGCAATACGCACAGTATGCACATTATACCAATTGTTATCTTAAACAACAATAGGAAGATACAAGTAAACGTTATCTAATGATCAGAAGGAGTTTTTTGTGGAGATTTAGTAATTTCATGGTTGAAAGCGTAAGTCAATTGAAGCTAGATCACCAGGGAAAATCTGGAAGCACTGGATGGCCAACTTGTTCTATTGTGGGACTCCTCAGCAATGCGCATCCACAACCTCGCCGGCTCAGTGGTCTATCGGTTAAATGCTCTGGCACGAGACTGGTAGGCCCTGGATTCGAATCTCGTGAGTGCGGGATCGTGGATGCGCATTGCTGAGGAGTCCCACAATAGGACGAAACGGCCGTCCAGTGCTTCCAGGTTTTCCCTGGTGGTCTAGCTTTAATTGACTCATGATTTCAACTATGAAAATACCTAATGAATTTAAACTTCACTCCTTTGCACAAACAGATGGTTATAAGAACTCAGTAGCTAAGTGGATAATGCGATGGCGTTCGAAGCAAACGGTATTGGGTTAGAGTTTCAAATAGGACGAGGCGCACATACTGGATCCCTCTGCTAGCCATTATTCATCTTTTCTTAAAGTATTAATTTTCTAAATTTCTCTAAGCATTAAATTTTCATAAGTAAGAAACTTGTATTGTATTCCTTCTAATCATTTGTTATCTTCATTGCTTAAGTTTGTTTATGAAAATTTGATTATCATAAGAATGAAAGTACTTTACTACGTGAATTTAATGACTATTGAATGAATTTGTATTTCATAGGGATCTATAGTTATGAACTTCAAATGTTATAACTAAAAGTCTATAACAATGACTTCAGTATATTCATTTGTTATCGTCTACCTTTTCGAATTTTAACCGATTTGTTTGAAAGAATAATTTGCTCTTAAAACCTTATTTTAAATTTTTACTGTTTACTTCTTTAAATATAAAGTTATTAACTAAAAACTTCACTCCATTGTATAAGCAAGTGGCTATCAGAATTCAGTAATTGAGTGGATAACGCAATGGCATTTGAAGTGAAAGATACTGGGTTCGAGTCGCAGAGTGAACATCAACTCTGAGATGCAGGTACGTCCAGATGACGAAACGTCTAAATAGGACGAAAAGCGCTTCTAACTAGATTCCACTGCTAACCACTATCCATCTTTGTTTATAAGTACTAAATACTTATCAGAGATTGAACAGCATTGTTGATTTATAAAATATTCAACCAAGTACTAGAAATAAGAGGTTAATGAAGATTGTTGAGTTTTGTAGTTAACATTATGAATTAACCTTTGGTAAGCATTTAAAGTCAATAAATACTAGATAGTTGTTTCATAAATAAAAAAGAGTCACCATCTAATTTATTTCATTTAATTAAAATATGCTCAAAACACTGCTTCAATAGATAATAGATAATAATAGAAATAATGAGTATATCTCTTTGGTTTCCACAGACTATCTTTAGTTATGATGATTTTTAGGTAAGTTATTGCTTTTTTATCACTCCAGTTATATAATAGTACGTACTTACTTACGCCTGTTACCCCTCGTGAAGGAGTATCGGCCGCAAACCAGCATTCTCCATCCAACCCTGTCCTCAACAATCCTTTCCAGTTCGTTCTAGTTAATATTCATCCTTTTTCATATCTGCTTCTATTTCCCAGCATAATATGTTCTTTGACCTTGCTCTTTTCCGCTTCCCTTCAGGATTCCAGGTTAAGGCTTGCCTCGTGATACAGTTTGGTGATTTCCTTAATGTATGTTCGATCCAGTTCAAACGTCTTTTACAAATTTGCTCTTACGATGGAAGCTGGTTTGTCGCCTTCCATAACGCACTGTTGCTGATAGTATCCGGCCTGTGAATGTTCAGGATTTTGCTAAGACAACTGTTTATAAATACTTGTACCTTCTTGATGACGATGGTTGAAGTAGTTCTCCACGTTTCGGCTGCGTACAGTAAAAATGGCTGTCCTGACGTTCGTATTAAAGGTTCTCACTTTGAAATTACTTGACAGTTGTTTTGAGTTCCATAGGTTCTTCAATTGTACGAATGCTCTCCTCACCTTGCCAAGCCTCGCCTTTACATCTGCGTCAGATCCTACTTGTTCATCAATGATACGTGTTTCTACATTCTCCAAAGTTTCACCATCAAGTGTGATTGGCTTGGCGTCCTGCGTTTGTATTTGAGAATCTTGCTTTTTCCTTTGTGTATGTTGAGGCCTATTGATGCACAGGATGCTGCTACATTTGTTGTCTTCGTCTGTATTTGTTCGTGCGTATGAGATAGGAGGGCTCAGTCATATGCGAAGTACAAATCATCTAATTGATTCTGATATGTCCATTGTATTCCGAGCTAGTTATATCATATACATTGGGTACTTTTTCTTGACTCTGTAGACCGAGAGGTTCTGTGCCAATGTCTGTCATTGAAAAATGTACCTCAGAAGAACATAAACCTTGTGAAGGCTCTTTACTCGAACAATATCAGTCGAGTGAGAGCTTATGGCGAACTGTCATATGATTTTACAACCTCAAGTGGTGTCCGTCAACGCTGTCCATTACCCCCATTTTTGCTTAACTTTATTATAGACTTGTTGCTTGAAATAACACTCTCGTCGACCGAATTTTCAAAAATTGATCTCCTACCAGGGGCTCCACTAAGTGACCTAGAATACGCAGATGACATAGTCCTGTTTGGTGAAGACGCTGGCAAAATGCAGAGTCTTCTGTTAGAACTGAGTAATAATGCCAGGATGTTTGGAATGCACTCGTGGGATGCGTTTCTCTCCATCTAAATGTAAATTGTTACTCCAAGATTGGTCTACGTCAACACCTGAACTAAGGATAGTGAATGAAGTAATCGAACGCGTTGACAACTTCACTTGTCTTGGAAGTCTGGTCAACTCTAATGGGTTGGTGTCTGACGACTAAATCTCAGCACGGATTCGAAAAGCTCGTTCGAATTTTGCCAACTTACGTCACCTATGGCGTAGACGAGATATCCGTCTATCAATTAACGGACGAGTATACTGTGCAGCAGTTCGTTGTGTTCTACTTTACGGCTGTGTAAGATGGCCATTAAGAGTAGAAGACACTCGTAAGTTACTAATATTTGACCACACATGCCTTAGAAATATTGCTCACATCTGCTGGGATCACCGGTAAGTAATAGTGAGGTTAGACGCAGGGTATTAGGGAACGGTGGTAAATCAGTTGATGAAGTTGTGAATCTTCATCGACTGAGATCGTTGGGTCACGTGTTACGTATGCCTTAACACCGATTACCACGACGCGCAATGCTGAGTAGTATAGGGGATGGTTGAAAGAGAGTTAGGGGCGGCCAAACCAAAACGTGGCTTCAGAGCATGAAGTCACTAACTTCTAGTCTGAGCCATGTTGGTGGATGCAGACTACCTGTTTGGGGTCCGCGTGACTATCGTAACCAATGGTTGGAGACTGTGTGACATGGCTCCGAATCGATCACAATGGCGTAGGTGTATACACTCTTTATCTTCCCTTAAACCGTGAGATCAAAATTGCTTCATATCTGTCTTCCTTCCTATATTATATTCTTATATACAACCTATCTTTTATATACTACCACCACTAAATTAACTATTTCTATGAATCCAGTGTTGATCTAGTTGTGCTAATGAGGTATGGCAACTTGGACCGATGAATATATGTGCCTGGTCCTACGTTGTAGCTGACTGACTGACTGAGTTATATTCATTGAATAAATTTATTATTTGATGGTTTATTAAATAAAAGTCTTTGTGTATAGTCTAAAATAATCGATTTTTTTGTTGTAAACACAGACAAATGTCCTTATATAACCTACTTAATCCTAGTTACCTTTGTAGTTTTTGTTACCTAGACAACCAATGTGATCAAGTTTATTTGTTCATTTCTCAAAAACACAATATTCATGTCTTTTGAATAAAAGCTCTAGTCGTTCTTTTATTTAGTGAGAGCTTTTATAATGTGTGCTTCTAATATCGACAGATATGAGTAGTATGTATCATCAATCGAAAGTAGAATGTCTGTCTGAAGGGAGAAGATTGAGTAAATCGGGGGAGAGGAGAATGAGAACACACAGTAATTGGTATGTGTTACGTCCTTGAATCTGTCTACCCACTTAGTGCGGAGTATAATGTAGATTAAGACCTTGACACGATAGACTGACTGGCTTAACCTTGAGGACAATATGCGTGAGTTCGAAATAGGGGTAGAGAGACGAAAACTATTCTGTCCCTGATTGGCTGGCAAGCACGAGAGAGAGAGAAGACAAGACAGATGGAACACTAATCACTTTATTCCAACCCGATCTAGCACTCGAATTCCCAATTCAGATTAGGGTGAAAAGTTACATGAATAAATAGATGACTAAGCGGACCACAACGTACAATAATTAGAAAAATACAATCATGTCCAAAACTGGGGAATTATAGTAGAAAATAGGGTACAAAAGATTACGTCTAAATGACAATAGCTTTAGAACAGAAAATGCTATGGCGATGAATTATACATCAAACGAA